TAGTATATATATATATATATATATATATATATATATATATATATATATATATATATATATATATATATATATATATATATATATATATATATATATATATATATATATATATATATATATATATATATATATATATATACATTTATTACAGCCGGCTTTCCCGTCGTGGCCATAGCGATAGCTCTGGTGGCTGTGGGTTTGACCTTTGCGCTAGCTTTCTATCTGCGCAGTCGCTCCTCTGCCAGATCCGCCGTTCTGCTGGTGGGTCTGCAAGGCTCTGGAAAGTCGTCGCTGTTCACAAAGGTAACCTGTGTGTATGTGTATGCTGCAACACATAGGCACATTCCTACGGTGTTCTGGTCATCCTGTATGTGTGCTTTGGGTGATATACTTCATCTGTGTTTCTTGTGCTGTGTCCATGCATATCGCCTACGAACCTCCGTTTGTATCCAATAGGGTGTGTGGAGATAAGTTGTCCCGTTTGTTGCCATCTGATCATGCCCAGGCGTAGTATACCATGTTATACATGTTATAGCCTATCTGTCTATACATCTTGAACATGTTATAGCATTTCTGTCCATATATATCGTACATGTTATAGCCCATCTGTCTATACATCGTGTACATATTATAACCTATCTGTCTATACATCTTGTACATGTTATAGCCTATCTGTTTATACATCTTGTACATGTTATAGCCTATCTGTCTATACATCTTGTACATGTTGTCATGTCATAGCATATCAAATAGTACATGTGTGGTTGGTACTGAGCCCTGGTGGTTATTCACTCTACATGTGTGCCCCGATGCGTTGCGCAGGCGTATGAGGTGGTCATACGCTGCAGCACGGGACGTGTGTAGAATGCCCCCACTCACCACTGGCTGAGTGTCATAAGGGTCAGAAGTATCTGACACGGCAACGACAATATAGCCTACACATGTACACATAGTACAACGCAATGCAAGTACCTGTCGTGTGAATATAGCCTACACATGTACATATAGTACAACGCAATGCAAGTACCTGTCGTGTGAATATAGCCTACACATGTACACATAGTACAACGCAATGCAAGTACGTGTCGCATGAATATAGCCTACATATGTACACATAGTATAACGCAATGCAAGTACGTGTCGCATGAATATAGCCTACACATGTACACATAGTACAACGCAATGCAATTACGTGTCGCATGAATATAGCCTACATATGTACACATAGTACAACGCAATGCAAGTACGTGTCGCATGAATATAGCCTACACATGTACACATAGTACAACGCAATGCAAGTAAGTGTCACGTGAATATAGCCTACACAGGCTCGAGCAGTCGTACGGTAGTGGTTGACCACACGCCTGTGGCTGTGTGTGTGTGTGTGCGCAGCTCACCAACCTGCACAGCCGATACGGGCATCTACAAAGTATATGCCATGAGCATATGTGCGGAGGTCTCATTCGTGTTCAATTAAAAGTTAGATGTTCGTGTAGGGTAGTCCACCTGCTACCACGAGTGTCTGTTAAGCCTTCTGCATGGCTGCCACTGATGTTTATGTGTGCTTCTGATTATCCTACAACCCTACAGCTGCAGTTCGGTCATGTTTTTGAGACCCACTCTTCGCTTAAGACGAATACTGCGGTGATCAAGACGGGCACACAAGAGAAGGTGAGTGTATGCATGGGCTGTCAGAGGGCACGCTTTGCGAGTTTAAACGTTAAACGTTAGCCAGGCTCTTTCTATCTGTACCCCACCATACACCCAGCACGTTCTATTGAATCGGATTTGTGTATGTCTCTGAATCGATGAAGAATGATATGCGCATGTACTGTCACGGTACCATTCGTAAAATATGCATACACACTTATCTGTCTCAGCATGTGTCTGTGCCTGTGTGTGTCACATACCTGTTCGAATGCAAGTACAAACCTAAAAGTCGTCATAGACTGTGCTAAGCTATACAATAGAACTGTCTATCCACGGACATGTGCATACGTCAACACATGCTTGCCAACACGTATCACACATACACTCACGGCCTAATCACCTCCCACGATTGTCTAAAAATTGACTCTAAAAGTACTAACAGTTCTTCTTGAAGTTCATCCTATTAACTTTCTTATCACACTAGTTTGGTCATGTAATTTTTAGGAAGTGCACACACATGACCCTCCTTGCACACACACTCACCCACACACATACCCATCTTTGTACACACACTCACTCACACACATACCCCTCTATGTACTCACCCACACACATACCCCTCCATGCACAGACACTCTCCTACACACATACCCATTTATGTACACACACTCACCCACACACATACCCCTCCATGTACACACATTCATCCACACACACACCCCTCCATGTACACCGCTAGGGCTTTGTACTGTACGACATTCCTGGACAGTACCGGCTGCGCTCATTGGCGGTGGATCAATTGGCAGCAACAGCCAAAGCAGTTGTGTTTGTGGTCGACAGCCACACGTGCCGTGCGGCCATTGCGGATGTTTCTGCGTATGTTATGTCGATTTGTACTGACTGTGTGTGTAATTGCGTGTGTTATATTCATTTATACTGATATATATATATATATGTGCGTGTGTGTGTGTACATATATATGTATGTATAAATATATATGTATGTATGTATGTATATATATTACATATATATATATATATTATATGTATATATATATATATGTATATACATATATATATATTATATATATATACATATATATATATATATATATATAAATATATATATATTTATATATATATATAGGGATGTGTGGGTGTTGTTGTATGTATATATCTGTACATATATATATATATATATAATGTGTGTGTGTCTGTTTGTGTGTCTGTTTTGTGTTACTGTTAATACATATAAGCATGTATACGTATTACTAACCACGACCACGTGCACCCCACAGATGGCTGTACACGGTGGTAGCTCACAATATCATCTCCAGCGGCAGAGTGCCCATAGTGCTTGCGTGTAATAAGCAGGACATGTTTGGGGCTCCATCGCCCACGGCCATTGCTGCGTCCCTGCTGGCAGAAATGTATGTGGGTTGGTGTGTGCGTCTGTCAAAGACACCTGTCCGATACCCGAGACAACGTGTACGTCAATACGACTTATCTGCCTGTTGTCTGATCTGTGCAGATTGCCTCGTATAGTACCTATTCATATGCCCAAAACAGAGAAGCCGTTCACATGTGTACAATTTGTGCCGTGCAGCGTACAGGTCCTGTGTGTGCGTACCGTCTCAGCCTCACAAATCACTCAGCTCGCGTGCGTTGTTTCTGCTGTGCGTTGTTTCTGCAGGAACAAAATCCGCACAACGCGCATGTCCGACACGACACTAGGCGGCAACGAGGTGAGTACATGGCGGTTGTGTGGATGTTGTATGCAATAGATACACACGCAAGTGCGTGTACATTTGTTTGTAAGGCAAGTGCGTGTACATGTGTTTGTAAGGCAAGTGCGTGTACATGTGTTTGTTACGCAAGTGCGTGTACATGTGTTTGTTACGCAAGTGCGTGTACATGTGTGTGTTACATGCTAAAATACACGCGCAAGTGCGTGTACATGTGTGTGTTACATGCTAAAATACACGCGCAAGTGCGTGTACATGTGTGTGTTACATGCTAAAATACACGCGCAAGTGCGTGTACATGTGCGTGTTACTTGCAAAAATACCCACACAAGTGCGTATGCATGTGCGTGTTACATGCTAAAGTACACACGCAAATGATTGCACGTGTGATATAGGCTTTCCATCGTATTCTGTGTACTTAATCAGTCACTCTACATTGCTAGGTGCGTGGCGGGATTGGCCTGAGTGCCCAGACTTAATTCCAATATGTCAATTGGCTTTTGTCTGTAACCCAATGATTGTATGCCTATCATACGCCGACCGAACATGATTATACGTGCCATTTGTTGCTTGTTATTAACGTATACTATATTTACAGCCCTTGCTAAGGTGTGTGGTGTGTGTGGGATGTTCACAGCTGCCGTCTCGGAGGTTTCTCACCACACGCGGACATAGACCCTGCTGATTTAACGCGGTGTCTCATTGTTGGATGGTGCAGGCTATAACTGAATGTGCGATTACAGCCTACGCTTACCCTGTCACAACAGTCAACATGCAGCCTCTATTTCAGTTTGTACTAATATTATATCATGATCACTATTTTCACAGTACTTGTACCAATGTTTCATCATGATTATTACTTGTACAGTAATTGGACCAATGTTTAATCATAATCTTTATGTTACAGTATTTGCACCAATGTTTCATGATGATTATTACCCTTATAGTAGATTTGTACCAATTTTTCACTATATGTATTATTCGCGTAGTAAATTTGTGCCAAGTTTATTTCTTATTATCATTCTCATAGTATGTGTGCCGGTGTTCCGCAGGTCTTCTTGGGACACTCCAACAAGCCACTCGCGTGGGCTGACCTACCCAACACCATTGTGGTTATGGGGTGCAGCATCCACGACAGCGACGGCCTCTTAGAATACATATCTTCTCTCGAGTAAATGATGCATGCGTGTATGTGAAGCCCTAGGCACACCCGTGAGTACAGTCTGCGCTTGTCGTGGCGAAGTCTAGACCACTACAGTCTACACTCCTATTCTTAGCTCCTGTGTATGAGGTAGAGCGGCGCTTTCAGCCCATGCCCTCGATGCACCATCAACACGTATACTGTATGAACACGGCGCACACCCACAGTGAGACTCCGTTCCCCCGGACATGCAGAGGATAGGGCTGCACACCCATCGCCAATGCCTGAGTGTCACCGTGTGCGGCTGTTGAGCACAGTCCTCGGTGAGATGCAGAGGGATCTAGGCTCTCGAGAATCGCTCATGCGTTAAAAGACTAGCACTTTTTGGCGACTGCGTCGGGAGGAATGCTACTTGCGTGCAATAGGCATGTCGTCATGGTCTATGGCGAGGTTGCAGTAGCGACTATGAAATGGATGTCTGCACCTTCTTATCGCTCCTCGCCGTGCAAATCGGCCTGACCCTTTCGGAAATCTTGGCACGCGCACAATGGGCCGAAGAAGCTCAGTGTGCGCTAAATAGAATAACGCATCCTCCACAAATTAGTCAAGTATAAATGCTTTCTTTAGACTCATGAAGTATTGTCTAAAATGAAGCAAGTGTGAGTGGTACATGCTACAGTTCGACTGCTGTTTTTTATTACTTTGTCGCTGCGACTATCTGCGAGTACTTAAATTTTAACTTGACTGGAGAAGGCTCATCCACTGTTGGGTCTCCTCATCCTTTCTGCCATTTGTACTCACCCACACTTTCGGGTTTTAGAAAAAATAACGTGGGTTATTGAGCGGGCAGACTGGAAAGCTCGGACGAATGTGATTTGATATGTCTTCTGAGGTAACTCTTCGTAGAATATGTCCTGTTACAGCCTTGAATAGTGCACATAAACACCTCAGACCGAGAGTGAGTCTTCTCATGTGCAGTGCGATAACTCCGATCTGCGAACGCCTTGTTGCATCCCTTCCACATACAAGGGTATGGTCTCTGCCCGGAATGCAAGCGATAATGTCTGGCCAGATTGCTTCCTTCACTAAATCGCTTGTCGCATCCTTCCCACGCACAGGCATAAGGTCTTTCGTTGGTGTGCGTCTTTATATGTCTGCTCAAATTGCTGGCTTGGCTGAAACTTTTCCCGCATCCTTGCCAAGTGCAATGGTATGGCTTGTAACCCGTATGTGTGTTTAAGTGTCTATTGTAGTGATCTGAGCGTAAAAAGGTCTTCTTGCATCCTTTCCAGGTGCACGCCCGTGGTTTTTGGGTGCCACTTGGGCTATGCGATTCACTTTGAGCCGATTGTACGACGCTGTCACTGTAGTGCATCTCACATTCTGATGGTGTCTGCGATTGGTCGTTATTGCTACTACCCCAGCCAGAATTCCTTTCATAACCCGGGGGCAAGCTGTCGGGTAAAGTATGTGATTCAGATTCGTACCCTGTCGGTAGTCTATCGACAACTTTCCCGTACCCTGGAGGTAGACTATTTGCAAAATTTTCACCTCGTACGTCAGCTTGAGGTCTAGATGGAGACAACATTTTCCTCGGAGAGTTGCCCTGTCGGGGTCGTTCACCATATCTATAATCGACACAACACTGCTCATAACTCGGATTCTTGCTGTTGTTTTGCGGTACTTCACGTACTTCTCTACTACCTGCCATACCCCGACTTGCGTGAAGGACAATCTGTCCATAAATACCATACACATTGTTTACTCCGGGTGGTGCTGCATTCGTTGTACAGCTACATGTTTTTGTTGTGCCACCTTTCGGCCACTTATAAGCCTCTACTCGGTTTCGAACGCAACCGTTGGCAAGGCTACTGTGCATCTCACGATTTGAACAGCTATTGTTCAGCATCCTTTGGTCAGTAATTGGGTTGCAAGAGCTCTTGAAACGATTCCCTATTGGTCCGTGGGAATCGGCGATTTGTGTTGAGTCTTCATAATCGCAGTTGGCATAATGCTCTCCTTCATTCCAGTCGTGATTCTACAGGCAGATAACAAATCATATGTACGATTAGATACAACATAACAAAGAATATAGAGACGGTCTGCGAACAGATTAAACTTTGGAATGCAAACTGGGAGACTTCATACCTGGCATTGGAGACTGCAGAAGTGTCGTCGTAAACATGGACATATAAATCGCACCGGTTTTTGGCACACTATACAGCTTGATGATTGATTTTTATCGTGTCTCAAAGTATTCATCATATTGACATCTAGAAAGCGGAATACTGAAGATCCCTCATACAAGTCATGCCAGTTTTCATCCTGCGTATATAAAAATTTAATCACCTTTTTTTGAACCCCTTTAAAAGTGAATAAAACAAGACAAAACCATAGCCTTCATTTTTGAAAAAACAACAAAACAGTATAAATAAATTAAAAATAACCGCAAACGAATTTTCAAAACAAAAAGAAAAACATAACTTTATTCCATTTGCGGGGTAGAGCAAAAAAGTAACCAAATAAAAACCCTAAACCCTAAAGCCCTAAAACTTCCAGTATTCACAAAAAAAGCAAACGTTCAACGAATGAAAACATGTAGTTATATGACCTGTGGGGTAAGCTATCGGAATAGAGTGATATTCGAATCTACTTAAATTCCGAAGTTGCAGATTACACAGTTGGTAAATATGTATTTTTTCGATTTTTTTATTTTATATTTTTACTTTGTTCTAGGGTATATTATATATTTAGGGCTATGATGGGGAAGGTGCGCGAGGGGGAGGGGGGGGGGGCACTATAAAATATAATATCGACATTGAACTGAGGGGGAGAGGCTCTAAAACAGAGTAGCACATCCGAAGGCGATTATCTGAACCGTCTTTATATGACAAATGTCCCAACAACAACAAAACGATATTTTTCCGCGCAGGGCATAATGCTGTGATGGGTTTTTAATATTAAAATACTTTTTTAATTTAAAAAATATGTACATACATTAAATTTTGAAATACACTTCACAGCATCACAGGCCCGGCCACCGGGGGTGATGTTCAACAACCTTTTTTGTGTTCCCTCGTTTGACCAATGAACGATCATGTTTTAAGAGAAACTCATTTAGATTGGTCAACAGTTGTCTAATTTTGAAAATATTTTGACGGTCGAGCTCAGGTGAGATTGCGTCTAGTTTTGGAAATGTTTCGGCAGACGAAATTATGTACGAGAATACAGTCACTACAGTGTGTCAAATTTGTGCGAGAGAGTGCGCCAAATTTCATGTATGAGAGTGTAGTACATATGTTACGATAATCTATATTATATGTACTATACAGCTTCTCAGGCGTTTGGCAAAGATTTGGATGTGATTGAGAAACACTCATGACAGACGAACGTACGCGATACTTAAAGGACATGTTTTGCTTTGTTGTACCATGAAAGTTTCACTGGTGAAGTGGATGCCTCATTGCGGAGTAGCAGAAGTAAATATACAACATCCGGTAGGCTAATTACGCTGTTGAAGTACTACTTCCAAATATCGGTTCAAACCAAATCATCGCGCTTGTTGGTTCCGACTATGATACTTCCGATTCAGGCCAGCCAACACATACCGAATTCATCCGTGATCTGGTGCGGCATTGGCTTACCACCATCCTCGCTTCTCGACCGGATTATGACAGATAACCTGGTCCTTCTCGGTATTTCGTACTCTGCACTAACCCATTCCGCGGCACTGCACGGCGCAGACCCGATCTGGGTACTCTATTTAGTAGGTCAGCAAGAAAATATATGGAACATTCGATAGTAACAGTGTCTTTTCAACACCGGTCCGAAATGACTCAGCACATATCTTCCATTGTCGACTCACTTGGCCCAGGCTTCAAACGGGAATTTACTGACCACTTCTTCCCATCAATCTTTCCTGAACCACTACAGCAACTATGAGAGCCATACCATATGTTCATACATTGTATCATACATACTTGCCATTTTTGAAATAAATAATATTATCCCTAAATGAAATGTCGTAAATATAGATCAATATTCCACAATTAAGCGCCACAGTGAAACCTCGTTGATCTGAACAGATCGTATTATGGATGTCTATACCACACTACAATATTTCATACTGTAATAGTCAGTTGAAAATTCAATATTAAGCATAGTATCGGATCCTGTATCTTAGCTAAATCAGCTATATAATACATTCTAATAGTGCGATAAGAGAATTGAATACATATACACACTCGTATCATCCATACAAACACGCACATACCCTGAAAGTAGTTGTAAATGGCTTAGTTCGATATGCTAAAATTCATGGAAGTACATCTTCGAAGCTCAACTGTGACAAAAAAAAATAGTTAACTCAAATTTTGCTAAAATGGTGCTCTACGTAGCACTCTGTACACAGAGTCTGTGTCGGTGTATACAGACAATAGGTGCTCCGCCGAGATCTTTTTGTGAATCTTAGCTGCCTACATAAGTCACCAATGCACTTAAGTCCTTGAGACTTACTTTTCATCTCAGAAAAGGCACGTTTTTTAACGTCCCAAGCACCTGTATCTGCGGGTCTAGCTGATGGTTTGTTTACATTCTAAATTTTCTGGCACACCACTACGTGTTGCCATCCTACCACTACTTATGTGTATCTACAACAACTCTTTGACTAATAGCAACTGGTATTCAGGAATTGTCTGGTGGTTGTTGTAAATAAATCGAATCGCACATACTGGATTAGTTAAGGTCAAATCCATGAAAAAAAAACATGTATACACATCTCCCAAGATCACGTGAAATGTCTTTCTTCCATACTGATGGTGTTGCTTCATAGATTGTTGTTTATGTTAACTGCTGCACGGGATTTGTTGTAATAGTCACTATAAACAACTGGCTACTGAATCTGATACCCATTCGCACGGTGAACTGTTCTGTATGTTGCTGCGCAAAGCCCAATATACTGGGCGTCTTTAAACGCTAAGACCTACAATTTATTTTGTCCCTGAACTGCCTTCTTGGTATACTTAAATGCGCCCTGTAGTGTTCCGATACTAAATAGGGGTTTGTCCGCCATCAGTTCTTTGATGTTATCCCCCGAAATTCCCTTCGGCCAGCTGCTCCTCTTTTTGGCAATGAACATGCCATAAAACCCATTATCCATTATGACCTTATGTCCTGTGCCCCGGATGCCGTCTGTTAACCGCATGACGATACTAACTGTAGACAAAGTGTAGTTCTCTGTATAATTCAGGCGAGGTAGATATTCTGGATATACCTTTGTTTCACACAGATCTACCCTAAATATACTATTTGTGGCGCAGCAAGCTATTGTTTTCCACTCGTTACCGAATTGCTTTGGTTTACGAGGGCAATAAATTTGGGCATAGCCCAGTGGGCTATTCCAATTCCATCATTGTCTCGTCGATACAAATTTTATCACTACAGAAAAAGCGTGTATCCATATCTTTACAATTCCACTGTGTAACTAGGTCTCGCATATAACATCCAGCATCGTCACGCTCCTCGGTTATAATGAGTGCAAATTTGAGACGTAGGTATCGCTGAATATGCAAGTATCGTGACTTACTCATGTATTTACCTAGATACGGCAGGGGATCTAGTGCATCCCGGGTCACCTGCCAAAATTCGTCCACCTTCACACCTTCTTGCTGTAATACTTCGCCATGATAAGGCGAAGTGCTAACCACGCACAATATTCGTTCACGTCCGTCTCATGCTTGCCAGCCTTCCTAAGCGCAGTGTTCGTTGCAGGTACCATTATATTATTAACCCAGTTCATTGGTAATAGGGATAATATTATTTGTTTCAAAGGAGTTAAGTTAAAATAAATAATATTATCCGTGCTTGAAAAAATCTGAATAAGAAGTATTATTGTTTATATGTGGTAGTCGAGCGGAGAAATTTCCAGCGCCACGCTTTTTTCTTTGACATATGTAAACGTCGTACAAATCTTGCTCGATCAGCACATCACCAGCTTGGAAGTTATCGTCCAACGGTCTGGTATCTAAGTCTACCTTACGCGCCTCAATACCAGTCTGAATGCCATGTATGTCAACAGAAACCTCCTGTGCTGTGCCATCTATAGTACGCAAAGCTGTGTTTGTGCGAGATGTACATGTATGCATGTATGTATCGGTGTTGTTGTTGTATCTGATGTACTTGTCATTGTGGGCTTTTGTGTGTTTGTCGTGGGTTGATTTATGTACGTTGTTGGCATATGGGTAGTTGTATTGAAGTCATTATTTCTATTGATATACTTCCTTCTATACGTGCAGGGTTTAAGGCCCTTACGCATGACGTGTTCCATTAGGTAATACTTTGCTACGCACAATAAATGATTTTTCAGAAAGAACAAGAATGGAATTTTTGTTCTGCACCCCTCGACTTGTTAGACTGCATGCTTGAGTGCTTTTAATGCGTCATCACACTCTTTTGTCCACAAGTCTCCTTGTTTGCCTTTATGACATCTGAAGTGTGATACTCCATCTGAAAAGGAGTTTACAAACCCACACATGCTGTTCACATCTCTTCCTGTAGCTGATTTTCGCCAACCTAACAGGTGTTCCACCTTACCGGGGACGATTTTAATGCCTTCCCCAGATATACGATACCCCAAGAGCTGTATTTCGCTCATGGCGGAGTGACATTTCTTCTCGTTAATCTAGAAGTTTTGTTCATTGAGTCTGAAGGACTCGCCTGACTAGTGCGGCATGCTTGCCCTTAGTCTTAGAAAAGATGACTATGTCATCTATATTGACTTGCATGTTTGGCATGCCTGCAAACATTTTCTCCATTACTTGTTGGAAGAATGCTGGTAAAGAGTGTAACCCGAAAGGTGCACCTCTGAACCTGTATTGTTTCTCTTTCCACGTAAAACTAAAGTATTTACGATGTGGTTCATTTACCTGCATTTGATGGTATCCTTGTGTAAGGTCTATAGTTGTAAATACTGTAGCACCTTTCATCCTTCGCAGTAGCTCGTTAACACGAGGTAAGTGAAAACTATGAGTCGGCAATAATTTGTTTATCGGACTCATATCTAAACATACTCTGACTTTCTTAAACGATCCGTCAGAGTTATGTTGGTCTAAGCTAGCAGTACCAAGTTAACTGGCGTCTGCTGATAGTTAATTTCTATCACTCCATTTGCTAACCTTTCTCAACTTTTTCTTTTATCGCAGCCTCGTGCCTCCAGGATACATAGTTCCTTGAGGTACACTTCAACTGTGTAAAGTCTACCTTGGTTATGTCAAGGCTGACATATC